CTGCCACTCCTGCTGCCTCCTCGGAGGAAAACCCCCCTCCTGCCGCTGCCGCCGAAACGGAAAGTGCCACTAAAGCTTCCACTGATAACTCACCGTCCTTGAAGGCTGACGAAGCCCAAGACAAAGAGGAGCCTAAACAAGCCGACGTGCCTGCTGCTGACACCACTGCCACCACCACCCCTGCCGCAGAGGATGCTACTGCCAAGGCAACAGCGCAACCCCAAATGGAGACAGTGGAGAGCAGCCAAACCGAAGAGAAGACAGGTGAGTGAATGCCTTGGTAGGGAATGGGCCTCTCCAGAAATGGATATCTCCCTTGGTCTCTTGGGGATGCATCTGAGGTTGGCCAGCAAGAGCTGGTGCGGGGGTTAGACTGAGGGTTAACAAGGGAATCCCCTTGCTGGGTTTTAGGGGTGGGGGGAGCTGCATGTTCTCGCCTAACACCCTCTTCCCTGCTTCCTGGCAGCTTTTGGAAATGCTGCACTTCCTCTTGAGGCTCCTGTTCCTCTAAGTGGAGGTGCCACCCAGCCCCTTTTTCCATGGTGGCAGGAGAATGTCAGCCAGCTGGGAGGCTTGGAGGAGCCTGGGAGAGCTCCCCAAGCTCTGCATATGCTAAAAAGGGCGATGAACCTTCCCGGTCACACTAGCGCAGGCAGCTCCAGTGGGGCAACAAAACAACCTGAGCTGATACCAGCTTACTGGAGGCTGCCAAATTGAGCTGAAAATCTCACAAGACAAAAGTGCTCTCATACTGTAGGAGGCCATTTAGCCTTGCTGGTGGGATGGTCAAAAAGGAGCCAAAAGGGTCTTTTTTCTATCTGCTTGTGTATGGATGAGATTCCTGGTACAACCACATCCTAGTCAGGAACATCTTGTTATCAGCATTGCTTATAGTTTCATCCACACCAATACTTCTAGCCTCTGTACTTGGAGTAGTCCATGACAGCCATACATGCACGAAGCTTTTAGACGTGTCAGCTGGGTCAGACCCACATGGTAAGAGTTAAAGGGAAGAGCCCTGGCAGCTCAGTGAGTGAGGACAGAAGAAAGACTTGAATGCAAACAGTCGCTCTAGGAAGTGTTTTCAATTCTTTGCTCTTGACCAAGTGCAACTCTGCTTAACCAGTTCCCCTGGGAAGAGGTGAAAAGTTTTGAGAGGCAAAAGTGAGCATTTTTGACAGAGGCAGAGTGTTTACAAACCATAAAGAAGAGCTGTTTTTGAATTGTGATACTGAGCTGGGTAGAAAATGCATCAAAGACCTGAGGATACTTTTGCTTTTTACCTTCCTTACGTTATCAAAGAAAGAGAACATAAACAAAAAAAAAAAAGGTAACATCAGAGGTAGGCACCACATGAAACTCAGTCTAGAGGCAGTGCCAAGCATAACTGGCCTCCACATCCATGAGACATTAGTTGTACAGGGCATTCTGCATTCATTAGCTTGTTGGGGCAAAAATGTGGCATATCACCTTGATATTCATAAACAGCCTGATGTAAATGTTACAGAGCCTCAGCATCCAGTCTTGCACTTACTGATGTTTCTCCATCATTTCATTTGGTCCACTACTTCTCTTCCACAAATTACAATTCCTACTTTCTAATTAGACTTCCAAGCTTTAGAGCTAACTCAGGGCTTCAGGCGACTCTGTTCCTGCTCAACAAAGTGGACAGATAGGAAAGAACAGATATCCAAAAGGACAGATGAATACTGGGAGAGGAGCTCATGCAGAACATTTCTGATTTAAGGTATGGACAAGGGGAGCAGCCTTCAGGAGCGTGAATCTAAACTGAGCGTACACAACAACGAAGGATTGCTGGTTTTACCTCCTTTCATTTAAACATTTCTAGAGATAAGCCTTGAAATTGCATTATCCAAGTTGGCTTTTTGTTGTCCAAGACTCCAGCCCTTTGTTCTTTGTGTGATTAATTGAGTGGCAAAATAAATGTCATGTGATTTGTGAAATCTAATTTGGTGTGTTGCATGCTGTACTTGCGTTGTTTTTATACTTGGGCAAAGGTATAAACATCAATGGTAAAAATAGGACAGAATGAATCAGTGTTTTGGGGTCTTCTGTACACATGATAACGAGTGCTAATTAACTCTTATTTAAGACTTGAGATGCCTTATTCCTAAACAGGAATAGTGATTTTGCTTTGAGTTAACATTCTATTTTTATTCAGATTAATCTGCTCTAATGGATAGAAGTAGGAAATTTGTAGTAGCAGGCTATTTCATTTGCTTAATTTTATCTGTTTTGAGTCACCAGTCATCAAAGAATGGTTTATTTCTATGCAGTATTCTAAATTATTTGTCGATATCTTCCCCATGCTCTTGTTGGCTTTAACATCATTTGAAGTGGCCAACCATTCATGGCCACATCATTTGAAGTGGCCATTTAAATGAATGATTTAATATGCATTTGCACGTGATACTGTTACTTATGTAAATATCTAGCCAACAGAGTAAGTTGGAAAATCTACAGTCAAATATATATTTAAAAATGAGTTTTCAGTGATTGATTGAGTGTTCAAGACCGGTATGTGCATCTATTTATACTTATTCAATATGCATGCAGTAACACTCAAGCTTACTAATGTTTGCAGAAAGCAAACATGGAAGGTGTGTGGCCACAGTCAAACTGATAGCCTCTTTAAAATGTTAATGAATATAGATTTTTTTTCTAAATTCCTATTCCAATATATCAGCCTTCCAGTCACAAACTTGAACAGCTGGGTAAGTGCCCCCAGAGCCATCCAAGAAAGAAATACAAAAAAGATTAAATAGGCCTTCCTGTCCATCTCTCTGAGGATGCTGGGTTGTGTTCTGCAATACACTCTATAGCACAGTGTCCGGAATAGTGAGAAGCTGCGTTCTCCTTAAAGAATATTTCACAAAAGAGCATCATCACAGTATAAAAGTTCCCACAGACAGGAAATATTTCCTGCCAGAAAGCCTGTTTTCTTTTTCCTATCTTCATCCTATTACTCCCTCTCATCTCTTTAAACCTCTCTGTTTCTCTCTTGGTACTTACTCTTTCCATAGACTTAAAGACATTTGCCATGTCTCAACCTTTCTCTCAGTCATCCTCCAGCAAACACAGCACTGGTGGTTGCTGGTGCGGCTGCGATGGTCATTCATGAAAGAGGGAGGGCTACCAAACATCTGCCACTCCAGTACTCCTCCAGCCTGGGGACAGATCCTCTTTCAGCTTCATCAGTTCCCTTCTTCCATAAGTCATCCTCTTGGCTTTCAAAGGTCATCTCTTATCGTTTCTGTGATCGAAGACTGGCACAGTAGTATGCGGTGTCAAGCTGCCAAAAATAAATCAAATTGGCTCCTAGCCAGTGTCATTGGTTGGCTGGTTGCCATGGCATGCTTGGCTGCTACTACCGTGAGGTGTGCCGACCGTGCTACTTTTGTGCAGTGATGTTCATCTGCTTTGAATTTTACTACAATGGCTGTATCGTGTTATCTGTGGATATCTTCCCTGGTGCAAACACAAGCAAAAGGCAAGGGCATTTCATTTATATCCAGAAGAGATTTTTGCCTTCATCTAAGGGCAGGACAAAAAAGACAGGATGAGGGGAAAGGAATAACTAACCAGATAAAGAGAAGTGCATGATTTTTAATGCTTAATAGTTAATGTTTCTGGAGTGGGGGAGAGGCTGGGTAATTCTTCATACCAGTTGATAATTCCCCTGACAGCCCTCAGCTCTCCTTGTTACTCAGTTCCACATACTCTATCTGTCTGTTGGTAATGGCTTAGGAAACAGCTTCAAACAACTGTCCTGTATCTCGTACTAGTTGATCTGGAACCCCAAACATTCCCAGTTCTACAGCAGGGCAGTTTCTAAGCAATCCTCAATGTATCAAAAAGTAGATGGAAAAAGTGGATGGATTTCAACCTGGGTAAGGCATGAAATGAGTCAGTGGGCTTTGTTCAGTAGCAATGAGAGATTGATGTAAGAAGGACAATCTCTTAGTTCTCTTCAAGTCTTTTGATGGGTGACTTGCATGCCAAGAAATTGTTTTCTTTCCTGAGCATCCTTGCCAAGCTTTATGTTTATAGGCTTTCTTGTTATGATCCAACTTTTGCCTCTTTGGTGTTGGTATTATGCTTAGAGAGGCTCCCTTAGATGCCAGCCTGCTCAACAGGACAAAATTCAAAAGTGGTAGGAAGGAATTTATACATTGCATATGGATGACAAGGTGAGATCTAGGTTGCATTGTCTTAAATCCGGAGAGTCTCCATCAAAGTTACTTGAAAGAGTCTACATTAGCGGAGCTTTGAAGTGAGACCAGCATCCAGAACAGCAGACTATAGAAGAAGATGGGCTACTGTGTGCCTTACTGGGAGGAGAGGAGGTGAATGTCACACAATGTTAGATTCTCTTCATACTTTCCCAGGTTTTTGAGTCTTACCTCCAAATTTGGCTAGCTCTCACATCAAAAGCACTCTCAGATTGTCAGGTAAGAATACAAGCACAGAAATGTGAAAGAGTAATTGTACCTAAGGAAACAAATGGATCTTCTTTAGTTGAGAAATGAAGAATGTTTTCTCCGGCTTGATGAAATAGCTTTACAATGGAGCAGTTTCACAGCTGAAATGAAAAATTAGCCAGATGACTATTGCTTTGCATGTAAGCGAGCCAGCAGTTCCCCCAGGGCCCTGCAAACAAGGAGCTCTGGGAGGCACCATCTTCTCTTCACTTCCTCAGAGGGAGCAAGTCCTACAGATCCTTTTTCATGGTTTAGAGTTGAATCAGTTCTTTGTTTTCAGTTCAATCAGTGTATTGATGGAAGGACAATACTTGCTGCACCTAGGGAGCACTGGCTATATAAAGATTTGGAAAGGGACACCATCTATTGTCATGTACCAGCTAGAAGGTACAGCCTGTGCTACGCAAGAGGATTGCCGTTGTATAACTGGAAATTTAGTCTTAGCCCATGGGTAGCTGGCATGAGGCAGAACACCGTCACTGCCGTTCCTGTTTCATGGGAGCTTATCTCTGCTGTTACACCTTGCAGCCAAGGAAAGCAATGCAAATACGGTAGTCTTCCCATGACTGCCCCAGAGGGAACAACTCTAAGCAAGCGTGCCAGTATTTTCTTGTCTGTAGTACTACTCCAGCAACAAAGTAAGAATAGAAATGCAATTTAGGTTACCTGCAACATGCTGAAATGTGTCAAAGTATGTGCCTAGTCCTCAGTTGCTCTGAAACTTTTAATCTTTGCATTGTGTCTACATGGGTATAAGCACTG